AACAATTTAACCCCCCCCCCCCTTTAGAAGCAGACTGTTAGTAAAACTTGCATTGTTTACATTTGATTTCCAGGTATTACTAATTTTACAAACTGTAAACAATATTTTGACTTTGCTTAACTTTAATTTTCAGGTACTCTCTAAACCATTGGGGTGGGTGTTATCTTGTTACCTACATTGCTTCTTTTTCACAAGTCACAAGATAAACAAATAAAACAGCTTCAAAGTATTTCATTTTCTAAAGTGTTTTGTTCAATTATAAACATGTACATGTACATTTATGGAACGCCGTCACTGCCTTATAGCAGAACACTACTATTGCATTGTGTCAACCTTCCATTACATTATGTCAACTCTTTATGACATTAACCCACACTACTATTGCATTGTGTCAACCTTCCATTACATTATGTCAACTCTTTATGACATTTACCCACACTACTATTGCATTGTGTTAACTTTCCTTTACATTATATCAACTCTTTATGACATTTACACATACTACAATTTTATTTCGTCAACTTGCATTTCGTTATGTTTACTTTTCATGACAAACTTAGTTTTTATTAACTGATGTGAAAAGGTCATGCCATACTGTGCGCACTCTTCTACATTATGTCGATTCACTATTACGTTATGCGAACACGGGTATCCTCGGCCTTTACATGAGCATATCGTATTTTCCGCGTTCCGCGAGCAGTAAAAATGATGGGAGAGAAAACTGTCGTGGAAGAGATTCTCAGCGATTTCGGAATGACGTCTTTAAATGAAAACTTTAAGCGACAAATGATTGACAATCTTGAAACATGCAAAGCCTTATCACTGCGACTGTGAATTAAAGATACGTCGAAATTCAATGGTGTTTACTTTAATCTGATAATTAAATAAGTCGTGCAGCAATCATTTTCTTCTTTTTATTTTGAATTTTCTTTTTTTTTTTTTCTTTTTTTTTTTTATAAAAGTCTTAAACTTTGTAGGACATTGCATTAGTTTCACATTAAGTTTAGCTGAATTAAGTTGAACACATTTTTCTATAAAACTATAAAGACTGAGAGCTTCTCCGCTTTCCGCCCCCTGGTCTCCAACCATATACCGTCCCCCTTCCTTCGTAAGGCCTTTCAACTGATTTAGATGTGCGACTGGTAGATTTTTGTAATAGAATTCTGGCCCAGGAATGATTAAAAAAAAATTACTAACTCCAGTGACGTAGCATCTTTTTTTGAAAGAGGAGGTCAGCCAGAAAAAAAAATCATTTACCCGAAAAAACTTGACAAGCCAGAAAAAAAAAGTCCAAGCCCGAAAATGCTATTTCGGGGAGAGTGGTCCAACTTCAATCAGTCCTATTTTTTCCAGATATATTACATTACCCTTAGTGGACTATACTTCAACAAGAAGTGGCAGGGGGGGGGGGACTGTACAGTTTCAATGAACATTACATTTTCTATAGTTACTGTAAAGTTATGTCTGGGAAAAGAGGGGGTTGATATTATGTGCCTGTAATTTGTCCTAATCAATTAGGACCCCCCCCTTTCTTACCAGTCATTAAAAGACGGTCGTCAACATTCATTATCAGGTGCGGATCCAGGAATTGAAGTTAGAGGGGGCGCCAAAAGTAGGCAAGGGGTTGGGGCCGCCTTGAGGCTCCCAGTGGGTCCAGTGCAAAGCCCTGGTGGGGGTCCGGGGGGGGGGGGGGCGAAGCCCCCTGAATTTCCTGGGTTCTAGAGATTTTGTAGGGTAAAAATGCGGTCTACCAAGTAAACATATAGTTTACATTTTCTAGACGAAACTGTGATTTACGTTAACTTTGACAATTTTAGGGGGGGGGGTGCGCCCCCCCCCCCTAAATCCGCCACTGATTATATACTAGATATACAGCTTTGAGATAATGTAAATGTATTTTAACATCAGGTAATGAACTTTTGAAATCAACATGATAAAGAGTTAAGACAATATAAAGATATTTTTAAATCACATAAGAAAGAGTTGACATAACGTAATTATATATCCACATCACGGAATGGAGTTTTGACATAATGTAATAAAGTGTTGATATAATATAAAGATATGTTCACATTATGTTATACACTTTTTACACCACGTAATAAAGCACTGGCATAAAGGTAAGATGTGTTCACCTCACATCATGATGTCCTCGACGTAAAATAACGATAAATCCATATCACGTAATAATGCTTTGATATAATAGAAATATACACTCTCAAAAAGGAATGGGCTTTTGACTTCAAGTAATGATAAGTTTAATTATAAAATACAATTTACTTGACGTAATGCAATTTTGACCTCACATATTAAAGAAATGAAATGATGTAAAGAAACATTCATTTCACGTAATAAAGTTTTAACACAATGTAAACACATTATCACTTCACGTAATGGATTTTTTACTTCAAGTTATGAAGTGCTGACATAATGAAAGGATGTATTTACTTCATGTAATGCAGCATTGACATGATGTTAAGATATATTTTCATCATCCTATAAAAAATGGACATAACGTAAAGATATGTTCACATCACGTAATGATAAATTGACGGAATAAATGCATAGTTGTATGCTATAAGGCAGTGATGGCGTTCCATATACATTTGTCACTGTATATTTATAGTTTATACAACATGTACAACTACATAAAAGTTCAATTAGTACTGCAGTATACCAATAGCTAAGGGTAACCCTGGTATTTATTATTTGAAAGAATTTTGTTCAATTATGAGGTATGACTAGAAGCTTTGGACCCTTCAACCCCAGGGTTTCTGTTTCCAATTTTTGTAGCTATGAAATGACTTCGAGTTGTAAAAAGGGTCTAAGAAGGAAAGTAGCTTGCACCGTCCCCCATCCTCAATAGAACCTCATTTTTCATAATATTTATTTTGTGTGATTTCTTGAAGAAAAAAAAATTTAGAGCAAGTTATTAAGTGAGTATATTGTTTCTCCAAGGATGTATCCAGGATATGTCTTTCTACTCTCATCATGCTCATATCAACCAGAACTTGTGTATTTTTTTTTTCATATTCCCATTTATAAATATTTTTATTAAAAAAATAAATAGATAAGACACTTCCACCTTGTTATGTTAATATAAAAAGTTGTCCATATAATTTTGAAGCGATATGAGCAAAAATAAATCGATAAAAATAACCTATTGCAGATTTATTAAGAACAGGTGCGTGTGGTGGATTTTGATCCGCTCCCGATTAAAACAAAAATGGCGTCGTACAGCAGACGCTTCGTACTCATCGAAATTTTTGTGAAATACTGCAAGTAGAAATATTATCTTGGATAATTTCTTTTAGTATCATTGCATGCAGGAAAATATTCATTTGATTTTCACCAAAACATGACTGATTCTGTCAGGAAAGTGGAAATCTAGTCGAAAATTCTATGGCATGTCCTGTCGCACGACTGCTATTTTGTGTGTTTTCAAAGACCTAAAATATCACCGGTGAGTTTATTAATTGTAAACAACTTTTTCTTTCTCCGAGACGATTGTTGGTTTAAAAAAATTGTGTAATTTATGTATCTTGCGAAATAATTACAAATAACTACCGTTTGACAGATTTTTAAACGTAAAAACGTAAATCGGCAATAATGGGTACTCGGCAATAATGGGTACTGTGACGTTAGCCTGGTGGTTAGCGTGATAGTAAAAATGATATTTGGATTTTCTTTTTGTTGTTAAAGCTAGAACCCCAAGATAACCACAATATTTTTCTTAAAATATAGTTAATATTTTTTTCCCAGAAAGTTTACTAAAAAATTACCTTTCCCTCAACACTGTACACATAAATACTTTTACTAATATCAATAATCACAGATTAAATAACTGTGAATTTAAGCAAGAATATCTTCGCCTGAAATATTTGTCCTGTATTTTGACACTAAATTGTCTGCAGAACGTTCCGTACTCCCGATCATAAGAAGAAGCACACGGTGGGTGTGACCAGACAACAGAGGATACTCATTCCTCCCTGGCACTAGATCCCACTTCAGATGATTTAAAAGTCCGTTTGTTCTGATCCAAATTTGTATTGCTTTAAATGACTTAAATTGATCTTTTAATCAAGTTGATATCTTTATATTTCGTATTTCTAAATCTTTGATGCATTGTGAAAGCATATTTAATTTTTTTTTATTTTCTTGTCAAAAATCTGAAGAAATTGTTGGATAATACACAAGGAATTAAGTATGTAAAATTCTTTCGAGTAATTTATTTTTCTTAATTCATTTTAGCATTTTGGTTTGAAGAATAATATATTTGTTTTAATGTTCACGCTTAGTATGATAATTATCATTCATACCATCGACGACTAACTGTGCGTTCTTTAGAACAGATAAATTAAGTTAGGATTTTTTTCCTTCAAAATATCTGCGAATGCACAATTATTTTCCCTCTATATACTCGTACCTTTACATTTCAATGATTGCAGTTACTATCATTGTCTGCACAGATTCTGACAACCTGTAGCGTGAGAATCTGTATTAGTCTAATTTTATGTTTAGAAGTACATATCGGAACCATTGTAGAAAGTACATTCATATCTTATATTAAAAATTTTCAAAAGTAAAACAGTAAGAAACGTTAAAACTTGGAAAACTTTATTATACTATGCTTTAAAAAGGATGAGAACAATGCTAAACTGTATAATGGTAAGTCTCTCTAAAAAATATGTACAGTTGTGCCAAAATCTAAAATTGACAAATGTGTAATTTTATCCATTAAAGAAACATGAACATTCAGGAATGCATTTTATCCGTTTTGACTGTAAAATGTAATCATAGCAAAAGAAACATGTGATGCAGATAAAACTGGAATGGAGGCTAAGAGGACTTATAATGAGATGCGTTAAAAAGTAGTTAAATATTGCATGTGATTCATATGAATTTTTCATCCAATTAAATGCCATTAGAGCTAATGACTTTCATAACGTCATCTTATTTTCTAGGGTGCTGGCTAATTAGTAACATTGTATTAGTGGCAATATAACAAGTGTGAACAGTAAGATTATTTTACAGCATATACATGTATAAGCTCTGAGTAATATTAATCACAGTTTCATATATTTTACTGCATTTCAATAGAGCATTTTTTATATAGATTTTTAACTTTTCGTTTCCGACATTTTTTAGTTTCATTTTCGACATATTCAAGTTTTCATCTTTGACATTTTTCAGGGAGTGCTTTTCGGTAATAAAATCAGGATTGAAGAAATCTCTTGTGAAAAATTTGATTTAATAAGAATAATTTCTGGTACGTCAATGTCTTTGACATAATTTCGGATCAGTTGTTGACAGTTAATTTAGAGAACATAAATGGTGATAAAAAGGTTAAATGTGCATTGAACTATTTTACGTATACTTAATGCTACATGTACAGATGCAATTACAATGTATACGAAATGCTTTTTTTTTTGTTTTTATTAATGATTTTTTTTTCAAAAATGAAATTTGAAATAAATTCCTTTCAATTTCATCTACTTGGTAAACATTTAAAATTGCCGGTGAGATACTTTGCAAAAATTCCGGATATAAAAAAATATTAATGTCGGAAATAAAAACATTTATTGTCGGAAATGAAAAGGTATCCCTTTTATATTATATTTTATGAAATATCATGTAACTCATATGCTAATAGAGATTTTATAAGAGGTAGGCTATTCAAATCCTAAACGCGTACAAAATTCTTACATTTATGAAGGCTTTCCAAATTAAAAAAAAAACCGTTGATGTTAAGACTGAATTTCTTTAAAAAGCCAACATTTAACTACTTAATGTATATAAGCGCTTTTTTTTAAGTTCTCATTAACGAGCAAATCTTATGCTATGATATTGATGAGTTTGCATATCTACTGTTTTACAAAAAGGACAAAATTAAAAAAGAGAAAATTTATTGGGACAACTGTACCTTAAACTTGAAAGGGCAATACTTGTTCATTGCAACTATATGCCCAAACCAATGCTAGTTTTTCTTATTCAAAAAAGCATAAGCACATTTAAGTAGAATCTGGGGGAAACCAACCCTTCTTGCAATATTCGTATTTCTAAATGGCACATGTTACCCGCGGATTTATTCAGCAGAGCAGTTATACTCTCAAAATGCAATCTATATGGCAATCTTAGGAAAACCCTATCAAAATAGCTACATGTTTTTACTTGTGTTTAATTTGATTACGTTTGCTGCTTGAGCATAAAAATGAAGCAAAGAAAAGTATATAAGGATTACAGGAGTAATTCAGTGTAACAAGGATAAAAAAAATGTCATGTAAATAGACAAAATAATACACTGACATCGTTACAAGATATACAGAAAACTCGAATAAAATGTATGCAACTTGATAGCAGATAAAAACAAATAATATAATAAAAATTATAACATTCATTCTTCTGCCGATGCTGGAAGGAATAGAAGATTTTTTCAAGGTTTTCATCTTCAAAATATGTAAAGTCAGGATTGCACAAACAGATAACCCAGAATATGTTATTCTTATGAAAAACATAGTCCGTACGCGTGCATAAATATAGTCCTCTATTGATGGTAGTGATATCAATGCTGAAAATAGTGAACTAAAAACCCAAACCACAATAGAACATCCCAAGATAACTGTCGGGGTCAGTCGTATTTTACTCTGTAACGGATATGCTATTAATAGATATCTAATTACAGAAAGGAGTACAATGTGTGTAACTGAACTATGAAAAATCGTCTCACGTAAAATCGTCATTGTTATTAAGACAGGAAAACCTTGGGATGAAATATACATAGTAAAGTTGGAAAATCTATAAAGAAACATGCAGACAATAAAGAGAAGATCTGAAAATGCGAGACATCCGATGACAACGAATGTTGGAGTATGGAACTTTTTATCGCACAAAATTTTGAAGATGGCGACAACATTTCCCACGAGCCCCAGGCATCCAATAATCAATCCCAGTATCACAAATAATTGATGAAGCGTCTCTCCAGTGAGTTTACTACTATAGGAATCAAACAAATAGAATTTAAATAACACAGCGCCATGTGTATAGTCGTACTCAGCAGACAGGTTCCGTGTTTCGTTCCACATTTGCTGAATTATTTCTTTTTCTGGCACGGAATACCAGAATGAACTGATATGATTCTGTATCGTTTCTTCGTAAAGGTTCGATACATTCCATTCGGCAGCACTGGGTGTGTTTCCAGAAGTCTTTCTTTCATGAGATGCCATTTGAAGTATGCTATTTAAAAAAGTTGTTTGTTTCAATTAAAACGACTATAATTTTTTCACATATAAAATATGACATATTTTCTCCTAGATTAGTTTAAAAGAAAACAAATTAATTTTTTTAACACTACTACAAATTAAAAAAATTGGTGTCTCTTATTTAATAAATTTAATTCAGCATACCTTCTATTTAATGGGTAACTAGTAGAACAATTTGTGAAGTGCTTTATTCTTACTTGCAGCTTATTTAAAGTTAATGTCAAAACCAGTGTATAAGACTTATATATATGTACTTAACTACCGCTTACGTCAGAGGATTTCCTATTCGTAGGACCAAATTTATAATAAGTTTTGTTGTTTTCTACTTTTCTTGTAGCTGAAACAAAACTGTAAAAATAGATTAAAAATAGATTCAGGCCAAATTAAGAAATACAAGAAATATCAAAACTTGATTTTAATGTACTACCCTTTATTCCATGGTTTAAATTGAATAAAATTTAAAGTTGCAGATCAATAACTGAAATCAAATAAAATTTATTACATGTATTTAGATAACGAACAAATATATATCTCAAAACTACCTACAATACAAATCTGTGAGTAGGGTAGAAACGCAAATCCTTTGTAATGTCATTGTAATGAATCAGGTACATAGGAGGAGTACGTATCCCCTGTCGACCTGTTACATGTACATCAGCTGCCATATTGTAATTTTTTATTTACTACAATCCGTTTTTTTTTAAATACAATATTACACCATCCATGACCTTGTATGTAAGATCATGTCATCGATTAATAATCAGTAGTCAATTTTAACATCTTAATCAAACTGTCAGTTTGAAGAATTTAATCGATAGCTAGAAAGTGAATTGTGAGAATAAAATTGATCTCCAGACGTAGGATTAAAACCAAATTCTATTTATGAAAAAAAACTAGTCATAAATATGATCCTTTAAAAAAACAATGTTGTGACAAGCTTCGTCTGCTTGAAGCATAACAAAAATTTAATGTAGTTTTTCTAAGTGTTTTATCGCTTCCGACTGAGCCAACCCGGAGCGATGGATGGTACGTTGTTGCATTTTAACTTTACTATACGATTCTTAATTTTTTTTTTTTTTTTAAAAATACTTACGCCATTCAAGCAATGTGTTCAGGTCTTTCCTTTTAGATTTTGCCCAACATCATGAATCCATCATCATAATAAAAATAAACCTCTGTGGTCAAATGAAGTATCGACGCTCCCCAAACTAGATAAACTAGATACAAAAATATTCCCCGAGTTAATGTATGTAAGACTGAAGTTTTAAGACACTAAATTTAATAAATGTGCAGATTTGCACAATTTTCTGCTAAATATCCTTCCACCATAGAAAATAGTCCCTCGCAAATCTTGATTCTTTGTGGATTTTTGATCAGTTTTTTTCCTTGTATGTTGAATGATTAACAATGTTGAATTTTAATATATTATGAAAATTGAATTATGATAAATAGGTTTGAAGAAAGGGGTTCTGCGTGAACTTTTCTAGAAAGCTGACGAATGACATACCTTAACACCGGCTAGTTGTGAACTTTGATTTAGAATCCCATTGTTCCAGTTAATATACATGGAGTAAGCATGGGATAGATATGATAACTGGTTGTTTGTTAGTAAACCTACAAAAAGTATATATATAAAAAAAGAATAATAAACTAAAGTAAACTAGAGTCAAAACATGAGAAAAGAATCTTGATTAATCATAATGATAAAGAAAGGTTGAATTGTTTCAATTTATCTGTCCACAATGCTAAAATCAATACATTTCAAATACAGGGTGTTTCATAATATATGTTACATTTTGAATCTTCAATTTGACAAACACAAGAAAAAGATATTGATAAGTCTTTTTATCAAACTAATGCACGTATCCAAAAGATTCATAAAGTACAATTACCAACTAAAATATTAAACACTGATCAAAATTTTATATTAAAGAAAATGGCAAATTTCGAAGTTGCATCATTCCTGCTACGGTGAATTTCACAACATCAAAATCTCACTTTACATGTTTCAAATGATCTCGATCCATTAATTCAACAACAAATGAAAGTTGTTTCTTGAAATTTGTATAAAACCTTGTCACATATATTTGCTTAGACACTCATTTGAAGGTCCATGTTCATTTTAAGTTCATGCATTATCTGTGGTCTAGGATTCTAGACCCTATTCCTTAAGAACCCCTACAGAAAAGAGCATAAAGATTGAGATTGTCATATGAAGAGGTCAAAATCATTCCTTGCATTATTGGAAATTTGTACGCTGAAAACTTCAAATCATATTGAAAGTTTGTTATATGCTGAAAATGCTGATATAGTCAAAATAAATATTTGAAAATATCTATTAAACACTTTTCTCAGAAGTTTTCTACGCTAAGAGTCTCCACTTTAAATCTCAATTAAATCTCCGCTTCTTAAAGTCTTTAGGCTTTCTGGAATACTGTGTCATTTATCACATATTGTCCTATCCTTAAACCTTGTTACTACCCTTCTCATAAGCATCCTAGAAATCTTCCATTCTTTTAGAAAATTTATTTCATCAACTTCTGAATGAATTGAAAAAAAACAGCTTTACAATTCAGCACTGAGTGGGTAAGTCAAGTTCATTTCGAGAAATATTCAAATCATGATATTGGTGTTTATAGCACAAATAATCATTGCAAGACCATGATTTCCTTGACTTTTTTTCACATGGAACAAAAATGCAGGATTTGATGTGTAAAATAATTGATAGTTTGTAATAGAGGTATGATAGGTAAGAAAAATAATTAGATTTAAAAATGTAACATATATTATGAAACACCCTGCACTTGAGATATCAGCGTTTACATAGAATGTAGAAAGGATTAAACTCGAGACGCACACATAGAACGTTAACACTTTCAATTTAATATGAGGTAAAAATAAATTTACAAAACAGTAAAAGTTACTCACCTCCTGTTTTATCCACCGAAATCCTTTTCACGCGGGACGTGTATTCCCAAAATGTTTCCCATTACATCAATAAATATACGTAAAAAAGTTGGCAGCAGCTTTGAGTCTATTACATGTATAATGAGTTATAAATAGGGTTTATTGAATTAAACACATGCAATGCGCATCGTCCCTCACGTACGAAATGGCTTGTAATTGCCTGAAATTTTCAAAATAAGCTGAGGAATGTTATATAGAATTGATAGAGTTAAGTATTTTCCATATATATCATTGTTTTTATAAACTATATGATTCCATTGTGTACAAATCTGAAATTACATTGTAAGTTGAACGTTTTTGATACTTTCACAACATTCTGTTTGCTGAAGTCCATTACTAAGATGAACGTACAATTTGAAAATCAGACTTAGAAGTGTGCCAATGATATTCTGAATACTACTGAGCAGAGCAAAAATGCAGTTTCAAATTTAATTTTATGCTACTTTTACTTTATTGACCTATAGGAGTACTGACAATTCTCGTTCTTTTAGAGGTTTTAAAATAGGTTTTTACATTTTAATTGAAATTAAGCCAAATTATGGAAAGATATAAAATATCGTGATTTTTTATGTTCACATGCGCTTTAAATTCATGTCAGTTTATCTCAAATCTAAGTTCATTTAAGTTTATTATCAATCGAATTATAATTAGATCTTCCCCCCCCAACTAGATCACTACTGTTTGAGAGGATCAAAGATCTAATTGAAATAAGATTAGTTTATTCTTATAGTCCGTTTTCTGACTTTCCTCTGTTTATGTTCTTTCTGTATGGTTGGCTGCTTTAGAACAACTGGACCAGCAGGCATGCTTATGAAAATTTCCTAAGATATGTCTTCAGACGTGTCTTAGGATATTTCTTAGGACATATCTTAGGCACATCTTAAGATACGTCTTGGGTTGTAAAACGAAAGTATCTTAGGATTGTCCTAAGTTAAGATGTCGTAAATTCCATCTTAGACATTTTCTTCCTTTTCTTTTTTGTAAATGAAGAACTACAAGAAGTCCCTACATGTATTTCGAGTAACCATCATATGTAGATGTAATGGGGAGGGTGTTGGGGGGTAAGCTCCCATTAGTTCTGTAAAGAATTTACTTAAAACAATCAAATTAAATTTTTATCCGCTCGCATACTCGCTACGCTTAGGGTAGCGAGTATGCGATCAAATCTAGCAGTTAAAGCTATACATTGTATGCGAATACATGTTTTGTGTAACTATAAATGTAAAAAAAAACTTTCAGGTCTGGAGACCATTAGTGTTTTTTTTCCTTGCTTATTAAAAAACATATCTAAGTTAGTTTTTTTTTAGTTTTGTTTGTCCCTACTTCTTTCATAAAAACATGATTGGATTCGAGACTAATTTTTAAAGTATGTTTTTTTTTTTATTCATTTAAACTATTATTTTGATCGATATTTATTACATACATATATCTTTAGCAGTTTAGTCCGCTTTATCCAATTTTGTGTAAAAAAAAATAATATAACATATAACTGTAGCTACTTGTGTACAATCTTGTTTACATTAGCAGAATCAGAAAAGTGGAACTACATGACAATATATAAGTAAATATTTTTCATAGTTATTTGTATTATTGGATAAGTAATTTTGAAAAGATATAAGGCATAACGTCCTTTCTGGTCAAGTTCTCTCTCTCTCTCTCTCTCTCTCTCTCTCTCTCTCTCTCTCTCTCTCTCTCTGGAAAAGGAAGAGGCAGTCACGATTACGTGTATAAACTTTTCTTCTTTTTTTCCAAAATATATGTTATTTCTCTGCTGTCTTTATTATTTACACCAGCTAATACCAAGAAATGCAACATATTGATGCAATACACCGGCATTAAATTTTGACCATGTATGTACTTAGATCTTTGATCCCTCCGTGTTGCCCCAATAAAAAACAATTGGCTGTATATTGTTATTTATTTTTTTCAAAGGGCTTGAAAAAATCTTTTTCAGTGATTTAATCTTTAAATGCATACATGTCAATTAATGCAGGCACGTAGCATCGTTTTGAAAGTAGAGGGGGGGGGGCAGCCTAGAAATTTTTTTTTTGACTTACCTGAAAAAGTTGACACCCCCCCCCCCCAAAAAAAAAGGAAAAGGGTGGTGGTAGAGGCCAACATTTTTTCAATGTCAACTTCTTTCAGTACCAATTTCTTAGAATTCAATACTACATTTCCCTGATATCAATTACATATAGTATATAGTAGGGGGAGGGGTGGGGGGGGCCATCAGCCTTTCAATGAACATTTCAAATAGAAAAAGTAATGATGGGGGGAAAAAGTTACGGGTCAGGCCCCCCCTGCCCTCCCCCCTCCCGTTGTAATGAGTGCATGACGTGCATTTTTATAAACTGTTCTCTCCATTTTTTGTGTGCACAGGCTAATGCATACATTCACACGGTACAATGCTCATGAATTTATTGAGTTCATTAAAGAATTCACAAATTTACTACAAATATTTGATGTACACAAAAAATCATTCTTAGCTGTTTTACTGACATCAACACTTCTTAAAATCACCTAAGATATGACTTAAGACATGTCAGCAGTCGTCTTAAAGTTAGGACTAAGATTAGAAGGTCTCCTAAGACAGGATAGCTTCGATGGCCTCACTTAAGACTAAGATATGTCGTAAGACCGTCTTAAGATATGTCTTAGTCCTAAGATAGCTTCGTAAGCATGCCTGCAGTTGTGTTAAAAAAATAAAAGTCCTTTGGAAAGGAAATTCAATCAATTATTCAAATAATAAATTTTGTCCCATTTTGAAAAATAGATAATTTAAAAAAGGAGGAGGGTCATTTTAAAAAACATATCAGGAACCAATGAGCAAAAAAATATTCAATATTTTTTTTTTCAAAAATTCATATTGGCTTGTTATTAACGTAAATTCTACATTGTCCAAAACATGTACACTCGATTCGGCGTGGTGGCCTCAACAGAATGATTAAAATATATAAAGAAAAGATAAGGAAGGAAATCCACAAGATCTCTTGAGTTTCCTTTAAGGAAGTAAAACAACATTTTCAAATCAATCTATAAAACTATCCTGACTTTGTATAGATTCTCAATTCTTAAAATCCTGACAATTTTATAATCTCAAGGGATCGGTGAGGGATCAAATTGTTTTAACTGTAACATGTGTAATATGTTGGGAAAATTCCTTAAAACTGTCTTATAGATAATTAGTTGAAAAGACCAGCAATAATAACAATAATATGAATTCTTCTTGAAAGTACAGATTTCAAGTTATTAAAAAAAATTACATCCATACATATGGTGAAGAAACATTATGATCAATATTTTACAAGGGCAAAATGACCATATCTTGAAGTCGGAATAGTATTATTATTATTTTTTTGTAAATAAAACATGTTTTGAATTGAAAATATAATGCAACATTAATAATTTCTTCTTGTTAAAGCATTTTCATGAAGTAAAACAATTTCCTTGAAATGAATTGGAAATTTTTGAATTTTAAAATTCTAAAATAATTTTTGCATTTTCTACACTGAAAATGAAATAGTTAAAAAAATAAAATAAAATTACCCTGGTCCCAAAGCAAAAAAAATGATTCATAACGAAACAACTACATGTAAATGTAATTTTTTTTTATTTTGACGAGGTACTTTCTTGCATCAGATTTACATCAGAATTTCTATGGTCGATACAATGACCCTGTCAGAAAATACAATTTATCATTGAGTCAAATGGTGACTGACATTT